TACCATAATACACTCTAGTTCCATCCACATTGTTCCAAGTGGCAAGATTTCATTCATTTTGATTGCTGAGTAATATTCCATTAGATATGTGTACACACACACACACACACACCACATCTTCTTTATCCATTCATCAGTCATCATTAACTGATGGGCTTTTTCCATACTTTGCCTATTATCGATAGTGCTGCCATTAACATTGGGGTGCATGTGGCTCTTCAAATCAGCACTCCTTTATCCTTTGGATAAATACCTATCAGTGCAATTGCTAGGTTTTGGGGGACTTCTATTGTTAATTTTTGGGGGCCCCTCCATACCGGTTTCCAGAGTGGCTGCACCAGTTTGCATTCTTACCAGCAATGTAAAAGGGTTCCACTTTCTTCACACCCTTGTCAATATCTGTTGTTGCCTGAGTTGTTAATGTTAGCCATTGTGACAGGTGTGAGGTGATATCTCATTGTGGTTTTGATTTGTATTTCTCTGATAATGAGCAATGCTGAGCATCATTTCATGTGTCTGTTAGCCACCTGGATGTCTTCTTTAAAGTGTCTATTCATATCTTTTGCCCATTTCTTCACTGGATTATTTGTTTTTTGGGTGTTGAGTTTGGTACATTCTTTATCTGATATGTCATTTGCACATATCTTCTCCCATTCCATCGGTTGCCTTTTAGTTCTGCTGACTGTTTCCTTCACTGTGCAGAATTTTTTTTTAATCTTGATGAGATCCCAATAGTTCATTTTTGCTTTTGTTTCTCTTGCTTCTGGAGACATGTTAAGAAGTTGCTGCAGCTGAGGTCAAAGAGGTTGTTGTCTGCTTTCCTCTCTAGGAGTTTGATGGCTTCCTATATTACATTTAGGTCTTTCATCCATTTTAAGTTTAGTTTTATGTATGGTGTAAGAAAGTGGTCCAGATTCATTCCTCTGCATGTCGCTGTCCATTTTTCCCAACACTATTTGCTGAAGAGACTGTTTTTATTCCATTGGATATTCTTTCCTGCTTTGTGAAAGATTAGGTGGCCATACGTTTGTGGGTCCATTTCTGGGCTCTCCATTCTGTTTTTGTGCCAGTACCATACTGTCTTGATGATTACAGCTTTGTAATATAGCTTGAAGTCTGGAATTGTGATGCTTCTAGATTTGGTTTTCTTTCTCAGTCTTTTATTGAGGGCTGATTTGTGACCCAGTATGTGATCTATTCTGGAGAATATTCCATGTGCACTCGAGAAGAATGTGTATTCTGCTGCTTTAGGATGAAATGTTCTGAATATATCTGTTAAGTCCATCCAGTCCAGTGTGTCATTCAAAGCCATGGTCTCCTTGTTCATTTTCTGCTTAGGTGATCTGTCCATTGCTGTAAATGGGGTCTTGAAGTCTCCTACTATTATGGTACTATTATCAATGAGTTTCTTTGTTTGTGATTAATTGATTTATATATTTGTGTTCTTCATACTGGGGACATAAATGTTTACAATTGTTAGATCTTCTTGGTGGATAGACTCCTTAATTATGATGTAATGCCCTTCTTCATCTCTTGTTACAGTCTTTATTTTAAAATCTAGTCTTTCTGATATGAGTATTGCCACTCCAACTTTCTTCTGATGACTATTAGCATGATAGATGGTTCTCCATCCCCTTACTTTCTGTCTTCAGGTGCCTTTAGGTCTAAAATAAATCTCTTGTGGGGCACCTGGGTGGCTTAGTCAGTTAAATGGCTGACTTCATCTCTGGTCACCATCTCACAATTCGTGGGTTTGAGCCCTGCATCAGGCTCTATGCCGACAATACAGAGCCTGAAGCCTCCTTCAGATTCTGTGTCTCCCTCTCTTTCTGTCCCTCCCCACCCCTATACACTCTGTCTCTCTTCCTCTCAAAATTAAACATATAAAGTTTTTTGAAATAGTTTCTTGAAAGCAGCATATAGATAGGTCTTGTTTTCTTATCCATTCTTATACACTATGTCTTTTGATTGGAACATTTAGTCCATTTACATTTAGAGTGAGTACAGAAAGATATGAATTTAGTGCCATTGTTTTGCCTGTAGAGTTGATGTTTCTGGTGATGTTCTCTGATCCTTTCTATTCTTTGTTACTTTTGGTCTTTTGTTTTTCTTTTCTCCACTCAAAGAGCCCTGCTTAAAATTTCTAGCAGGACTGGTTTAGTGGTCACGAACTCCTTTAGTTTTTATTTGTCTGGGAAACTCTTTATTTCACCTTCTATTCTGAATGACAGCTTTGCTGGATAAAGAATTCTTGGCTGCATATTTTTCCAACTCAGCATGTGGAATATATTCTGCCACTCCTTTCTGGCCTGCCAAGTTTCTGTTGATAGGTCTGCTGTGAATCTGATCTGTCTTCCCTTATAGGTTAAGGACTTTTTTCCCTTGCTGCTTTCATAATTCTTTCCTTTTCTGTGTATTTTCTGAATTTGACTGTGGTTGCCTTGTTGATGGTTGTTTTTTGTTGAGTCTAATAGGAGTTCTCTGGATTATCACCAGCTTCTAAAATGTGATTACAACTATGAAATATATATATATAAATGTATATGTGTGTGTGTGTGTGTGTGTATGTGTGTGTATCTCCACATTTGCCTACAAAAAAATTGGAATGAATTACACCAAAAATCTATTGTGGTGTTTTTGAATGGTAGATATATAGATGATCATTTTCTACTTTTCTGCCTTTTCCAATCTTTCCTTAGTAAGAACAGATTACTTTTGCAACTTAAAAGAAAAAAACTCTTACATTAAAATTAATTTTTTTCTGGAGCTCAAGACCTGGAAATACACTTCTTCTGATGGACTTACTTGTTTTTAACATTTAATGAGTTAATGCATATAAAATAGTTGCAATTATGTTCAATGCTGTTAGTGACTATTGTTATTGTGATTACTACTATACATAAATGCTATATAACTCATCATTTTGGAAGGCCGTATAGCATAATGCTTAAAAATATGAGGCAGGTGGGGCACCTGGGAGGCTCAGTCAGTTGAGCATCCATCTTAGGCTCAGGCCCGATGATCTCATGGTTTGTGAGTTTGAGCCCTGCATTGGGCTCACTGCTGTCACCACAGAGCCTACTTCAGATCCTCTGTCTCCCTCTCTCACTGCCCCTTTACCACTCAACCTTACTCTTTCTCTCTGTCTCAAAACTAAATAAACATTTTAAAAAAACATATGAGTCGGGTGTGGTCTGCTGAGTTTATAATGCAGAATTACCTAGGTTAGGAGCACTGATACTTCCTAACTGTGGTACTTTACATGAATCACTTAGGCTCTCCATATCTCAGTTTTATCCATCAGCAAGAGGGGAAGATAATAATGGTTCCTACTTAATACAGTTGTTAAGAGAATCACAAATCTCTTAAAATTAATGACTGGTACATAATAAATGCCAAAAATGTGGTGACGGTGAGGACGATGATGATGGTAGGTGGTAGACAGTGGTGATGTTTCCATCAAAAGCTTAAATTTTATAATTCCCCTTTATATCATCAGAACATCTAATATTTAATAATGATATTAAATCAAGAAAAATATTTCTAAATAATCTGAGAAAAACAACTCTCAGATGTTGCCATCACATACTTGTGATATAAACTTACTGATGCAAGAGTGATTAAAATCAATCTATTTTTAAGACTCTAGAATGCTTGCATATCAACTAGCTCTAAAGTATGGTACCAAACTTCATCTTTTTAAATTAGTTACCTACATCATGCAAACTATATGTGAGTGCCATGTTTGAAGCTAGAGTTTGTATTTAATGTTTTTAAAAATGGGTACTACCACTTTCAGTTATCCCAGTATCTATCCCCCTAACATGTAGTCCTTTAAAGTTTCAAAGATGTAAAGCAGAAGGCTCACAATGTGGTGTTTCCTCCATGCCTCCTCCTGCTTCCCCTATTGCAATGGTGGCAAACTGCTTAATTACCCTTCATACACAAGGGAACTGAATCCTGGAAAGTGCTAAATCGAAATGCCCCAACACTGCAGCGTCCTCCGAATGTGAGATATTGTGCAACTCTACAGAGAAGCTCATTTGTAATCTTAGCGCTGGGAGAAGACTTTGTGATGGATTGAGAGATGTGACATGAGCACGGTAGTTGCGGTAGTGTGGATAATACAATCTAGTCTTTCAATTAGATACATTTTCCCTTTATTTGGCATTTAGCATTTCTTGTCTAATTGCCTTTTGTCTGCCTTTAAAAATATTGCCCAATTGTCACAATATGCCATGTTATTGATTTTGTTTTATTTGACACAAAGTACTGCTCTGTATCAACTGAATGTTGGCTTCCAGCTTTTCCCTAGATCAAAAACGAGCTGTTTTTCAACTGGAGGCAAACTCCTTTTGTGGTTATCTGTCAACTGCCAAGGAACATCCATAGGAGCCTCTAGAAGAGTAAAAAACTATAAAATACCATGTATACCACATTTGTTTGCCATTGATTTTCTCTTCTAAATTTGTGTGAAGAGTCTAATGTTTTGAAAATCAGATGAACTTTAAATGAAGAACAAAATCTCACTATTTTTTAAAGCTCCCCAGAGAAAATCTGAATAACTTGAATCATTATCTTATGAAAATTAAAAAGTTTACATCTGGATAATCATGTTCAAAGACATACATATGTCTTAAAAAGCAAGACTATACCTATGCGTTGAGACATAATACCTGATCATATTACTGATTTTTCCAGATGTTTAGCTTGACATTTTTGCAACATCTGCAACTGCCTGCTTTGCAGGTACCCGCAAGGCTCATGTTCATTATGTAAAGATTAGCTTAAATGGCTGGTTATTAGACCTATCTATAGTTTCTCAGGGTAAAAGAAATGTCTCAGGGGTAGTCTCCAAAAGTATATGAAAAACAAAACAGCCTTTGCTTCTTGTTTCCAGTATTTTCAAGGCCTGCCTGACAACCTCACAAGAGGCTCAAATTCCTGAACAGTGAAGTTAATAGTCTATGAAGGATCCATTTAGAGGCTGTCTTCCTTACCTGGTTGCAAAACAGAGGTTGACACTGAGCTGTGAAGCACTGGGTGACCCCATTTCTACACACACATTTAGCACACCGACTCAATGGCCAGTCTTCCCCATCCTGGAATACATGGCCTTCATAGGAACACGGTTCTGGAAGGTCAGAAAAAATAAGGATTACTGGGGGGATTGTACTTGCTGATCCCAGGGCTGACTGCATGGGTGTGTGGCCAGTGCAGTCAAACAGGACCCTGTGGTTGGAGGGCTCATACTTGGGGATTAAAGCTCTGCAGTTATGTGCCCTACTCTTGATTTTGTCTCAGGTCAGAATCTCGAGGTTTATGAGTTAGAGCCCCATTTCAGGATTTACCCTCACAGTGTGGAGCCTGCTTGATATTATATATAGATGAGATAGATAGATAGATAGATAGATAGATAGATAGATAGATATAGATGATATAGATAGATATAGATATTTCTCTCTGCCCCTCCCCTACTCTCTCTAAATAAATATATTAATTAAAAAAAAAACTATGCAGTCACTGTATTGAGTTCTTAATGACTTTCTCTCTGAGTTTTGTAAGTGAAGTCTAGTGAGACAACATAACATGTACTAGGGAGCTTCAGCTGATGCATGGTCCCACATCCCACTACTTCCTTGCCTTCCTGAGATGGGTTCTCAGTCACTTGCTTCCAAAACCATCCTCAGTTGATATGGAGAACAAAGGCAAAAGAAATGTAGGGGAAAAAATTAAATCTCCTTTGCAGCCCACTGACAAGTACTTAAGACAGGCAGGGAGACTTTCCTCTGGGAACTCAGCTGTCTTGATGTTAATGCTTTGCTAAGGGCAAAAAGTAACCTTAGTTTGACATCAGCAGCCTGACCTCCAGGATCCTTTAAGTCTTCTTAAACATAAAAATCCCTTTAGAAACTTCCTTTACCTATACCACCCCAACCAAGATATATGTTAGCAATCATCCTCCAAGCATATGGCCCGCTGATATACATCTGAAGGGCCTGATGAGTAACATTTTACTAGACTGTAGTAAATGATCCTAACAGCAGCTAGCTTCTCAATGTCCTGGAAACCTTGGACGTTGTGTTCCAGGATGCAATGTCCTGGAATTTCCTTCCAAATTCCTTAGAGACTTATGCTAACCCTAACCCTCTCCCAATGAAAGTATATAATCAGTCACTCCTCAGAACTCAGTGCAATTCTTTTTGCCCACAGAACCTGTCCCTATCTTTAATAAAGCCACATTTTTTGCACCAAAGATGTCTCAAGAATTATTCTTTCTTGACCGTTCGCTCCTGGACTCCAACATTTCACATCACTGTGAATGCTGCCATCCTGTACCCACAGTAGGGACCTGGATGCAGGTGCTAGGGGAGTGCATCCGCCCCAAGCAAAAAGTACCAGGATGGGGGCCAGGGCGCCTGTGGGGTCTCCATCCATCTGGCAAGTCCCCCCATGCCTGAAGGAGCATGGCATTACATAGCAAATTAAAAACAGGACACTTGAGAAAGACCACAGAAGAAAGACCCACTGCCTTTTGAATAAGGGGCCCTGCATTTTCATTTCATGCCGAGCAAATTATGAAGCTGGCCCTGACTGATCCTCCAGTCTCTCCAGGCAAAATGCTTCCAATAGGTCTTTCTCACGGAGGCCAAGAAGAAAGCCTCTTAAAGCATACAAAAGGATCCCGCAAGCTCAGCCAGCCTACTCACCACCCCCAAACTCTGTTGTTCAAGTATTTCTATTTGCAGGGTTATTTGGCCCAAAGCAGCTAGCTGTCAGTCCTTTTCTGGTGGATGACATCTGAAATGCATGAGGCAAGCATTGTACTTTCATCATTTCCTAAGCGTACTTTTAAATCCCTGTAATGGTTCTCCAGAGTAACGGATTGCCAGGAATGGAATAACTGAGGATCAGAAAGAAACCAGGGTCTTTTTAAAGGGAAAAGGCAAAAATAAGAGTGTAGCTTCCAGGTACTATTAAATAAAAGAATAATTTTCACAATCATATGCCAGGAGAGGATATAATGCAGCCATGACAGTAATTCGTATTTATCATGAAGCATAGACTACTTAGTTATAAAAATGGAAGGGGAAATTTAGTACTAAACTGTAATAAAAGGAGGACTTGGACCAAGTATGGATTCTAAGCAAAGGACCTGGAAATGTGCCCCTTGCTTGCTGAATGGGGACTCAGCCTGTAGGCAGGCATATTCTCCACAGTGAAGGTGCCATAGAGACAAATGATTGCCGTCTTCTTGCTCTGTGTGTCTTGGAGAAAGATGTTATGTCACCTCAAAGACCAGCCAGCAGAATTAGTGCTAGTGACGCTACATGGAGGGGTGATTTGTTCATTCTTCTCTCTGCCAAGAGGCAGCAGGAACCACCTTGGCCCTTAGGGAAATCACATCAGAGAATCTCATCCCTCCTCCCTTTCCTTCTTGGGAGCTGTGGATGCAGAGGGATGCATCTGGCCAGCACAAAATAAATAAATCAGAAACTTGCAGAATCCCAAATTTGGAATGGAGCTTAAAGATCTGTTCCAACCTCACTCTGCAACATTGCTTCTGCCAAGTGCAAGGCTCCAACTTGGTTCCAGTAAAGAACCAGGTTAGGGATCTTTGAGCCACACTGAGCAAGAAAGAAAAAGTTGGGAAGTCACTGGGTAAACCTCAAAGGCAAAGAAAGTCTCTTTCAAGAAGTTCATACTCACTCCCAGGGCCCACACAGACTGGGCAGCAGCTCCCTTCGGGGATGAATTCCAGCTCCTGCTGTGCACACGACAGCGGTGGGCATGGCTGGGGTGTGCATCGGACTTCCCCATGCGTACACGAGCACACACTGCATGGGGAGGAGGCCCACTCTGTCCCATGCTGGGGTAAGGGGGAAAAAGAAAAAGAAGGTTATTGTCAGAATATAGCTTTCATTTGACCAGACAGAAGCAAATGTCTTACACAAATGAAGGATGGTGCTCAGGAGAGGTGGAGGAAGGCTCTAGGCTTACAAGGTTTTACAATGTTCCAAGTCAGAGACCAATTAAAAACCTGAATTTTCTTTTCTTTTTACTATCCCTAAGATTTATACCTGAAATTTCAGGAAGACACAAAAAGAAAACAAAAGGTACCCTAGCCCGAATCATTTAAAAAATGCTACAAAGCCTAAAGTAAAATATACACACATACACATACATGTATTTACTGAATTCTTTATAACAGTCATATTGTTTTCAATAGCTCTCACTCTGATCCTCTCTCTCTCTCTCTCTCTCTTTTTCCCTTTACTTTTTAAAACCCTGACTAGTTCCCATATTCCTCTTTGCCTATCCTTCCTCCTCCCCATCCCCCTCTGCTTCTCTCCTGCTCCAATGGTCTTTAGGTCCTGGGGAAATATGACAGCAAGCAAGAGGCATCTGTTCCCACCAGTTCTCCCACAAACTACAGAGCCAACTCTACACATACAGAATGCTGCTATCCCACTTCAGGTTGGGATATGACATTCCCAAAACTAGCACTATATCAGTGATCTACTAAATCCATATTTGGAGTTCTATGACTTACTGAGTACCAAAAATATTTAAATGAGGCACTCACTCTCAAATGTGATGCAGAGTGAGAAGGGGGTGACCACTGAATATAAAAAGCTACAAATATGTTGATTGCTTAGGGAAGTAGCTGTCAAAATATCTTACGTTCTCTGTGCCAGAATGGAATAATGGTGGCTTTCATAAGATTGGGGGGGGGAGGGGTGAGTAAGCTTAATGAATGAAATTTTCCTCCTATAACATTTTCTTAAAATTGGAAACTGCTTTCCTCTGCCTCTATTAAATGCAGCATCTGATGATAACTGATCCAGCACACTTCATGTATAGATTTCCACTAAAAACATCACACATTCCAGGTGTTCAATCACCTAAATATAATCTGGGGATTACAACTATGTGACTGAGAAGCATAGAAAATAAATGTCCTCTTGCTTCTCCTCAAGCCAGCATCCAGAACAGTTATTCAGCATTCCCAAACACAAAAGAACTCTGTCTTACCTAAACAAGTCAGTACCGCTTTGTTCAGCAAATTACAGCCAGGTTGCAAGTAAGCCATGTCTGACATCTCTGCTACCATTACAATCATAGTAATAGGTAGTCACGGCCATCCAATCATTTGGAAACCAAGTCCTCCCCTTACTATCATGAAGATTACTTTCTCCTAGGGGGACCTACTGGAGCACAAGAGAGCAATAATGCAAGCATGCGCTGAGTCAGATGAACCAAGGGCTTCCTTGGAAGCTCCCAGCTCTGCCCTCCCTGCCTTGGGAACTGTGGGTGAGCGACTCAGTCTTTCTAAATCTCAGCTTTCTGGTCTGAAAAACTGAAATGGTATGACAACACCCCCTTCACTGGGTTATTATAAGGATTACACGAAGTGGTTTTTTAAAGAGCGAGCAAGGGAGGGGAGGGGTGGCGGGCAGAGGATGCTCAATCCTCCCACCTCTTTCCACTGTGTTGAGTTCATGGCCCTCCTCCTCCTTTTCACACCCATGTGCCAACTGTGACGTAGAAATGGACATAAATGTCAAGGCCAAGTCCTCTACCACCAATTTTTATTTCTGCTATAATTAAATATAAAATTTCAAATCGAGTACAGCACATAAATGGGCAAGCCCACAACTTGCTAATAAACTGTTGACTAATAAAAGATAGGGGACAAGTGACCTTTAAGCTTTGAAAAGCCTAAGCATAAAAGCAAAGAAAGACACCGTAAGAGAAAAACTGATAGGTTCTAACAAGTTAAAATTTTATTTTTTTAATTTTGTTTATTTTTGATAGAGAGAGAGAGAGAGAGTGCACACAAGCAGGGAGGGGGATGGTGGGCAGAGAGAGAGGGAGACACAGAATCCAAAGCAAGTTCCAGGCTCCGAGCTGTCAGCACAGAGCCCACCGTGGGGCTCGAACTCATGAACTGTGAGATCATGACCTTAGCCAAAGTCGGACACTTAACCAACTGAGCCACCCAGTCGCCCCTCTAACGAGTTAAAATTTTAAAAGTCTGTCAAAAATACCTCATAAACAAAATCAAAGGCAAACGACAAACTGATAAAAATTGCAAATTATATTAATTAGAACTAAATGCTATTATATAAAATCATTTATAAGCAATGAGAAAAACAACAGAAAGACAAGCTTATAGAATATTTAACGCTATAAATTGCAAAATATTAATTAAAATAAAATTGGATAATACTTCTTAATATTGGATATGGGAAGAGTTTAAAACTCATCGTAGTGTTGGTGCAACAGCAGTGGAGAGCATTTTCCCCTTCACGGAGCCCTCCCTCACCACAGCGCCTGGAGTACTCAGTCAGGTGGGGCCTACCCAAGGCAATCACACCTGAAGAAAGGCTGCACGAACTGTGATATTCCCACTGGATTTCTCATCAGACACAGACAATTTAAAACTGAATTTTAATGACCAGAGATCTCACAGCTTCAATAAGCAAAATCTGTAGATGCTTTGACCTACTAATTTCACTTTTAAGAGGTTATCTGAAGAAAATGACCAATGATACACAAAACAGTTTAAATACTAGGAATTCCATTTCATTAAGAAGTTGTTTGAGGAAACTAATGAATGATGCACAAAATGTTTAAATATAAGGAAAACCACTTCATTGTTCTATATATAGCAAAATTGGAAATATTATAATAAAAATTAGAAGCTACACAAATCCCTAATAGGAAATCATGTTCTCCAAGGGTATGCCAGGGAACTATACACAACACTTTATATTAAAAAGTAAGACATAAACTGTACACATAGTATAATTACAATTAGGTAAGTGCATAGATCTCTATCTATCTATCCATCTCCATTGCTACCTAATCTCCAAAAAACTGAGAGAACACTAACAGTGATTTTCATAGCTTGAGAATTACCAATGATATTTTTTTCTTTAGTTTTTGAATTTTCACCATAAACATATTTTTATTTTTGTCATCAGAAGGCAAACTACTGTTTAAAATATCAAATGAATCATTTATACGTCTTAAATAAAGTGAAATGTGAAGGCTGCATATAAAACAGCTTGAAGTGAACTTCTTTATCTATTAAAAGTCGAGAGATTGCTTCTAAACATCTTGACATTTCACTTCATTAAAATAAGGACTTGTACTGTTGCTACTAAGAAACACTAACAGTTGTTTCTTAAACATTTGCAATCACACCACCTTTCACACAGAGACCACAAAAATTAATTACAATAACAACCTGTCAATCACCACATTTTTTTCATCTGTAAAATGAGAGGGTTGTGTTAGCTAATCTCTTCAGTACCTTTGAGCTCGCTAATGATGTGCATCTATTACCTAACTCAAGAGACATAAAACGAGGCAGGTGATTCTCCCTTCGGAATAAGCTTCAAAATTATGGGAATAACAACAAACATTTGGTAGGGAATCTCCAGTGCTTGGTGTCACAGCCACAGAGGATCCCGATGGTGATCCAAAGTGCACAATTTCTCTCTCTCTGTCCTCTCCCCTGCTTGTGTGCTCTCTCTCACAAAATAAATAAACATTTTTTCTTAAAGGGAGGGGGTGCCTGGGCTGCTCAGCCCCTTAAGTGACCCACTCTTGGTTTCAGCTCAGGTCATGATCTCATGGTTCTTGAGTCGCAGCCCTGTGTCAGGCTCTGTGCTGATAGTGAGGAACCTGCTTGAGATTCTCTCTCTCCCTTTCCCTCTCTCTGCCCCTCCCCTGCTTGCGCTCTCTCTTAAAATAAATAAACACTTTTAAAAAATAACAAAATGCACAGAGTGATGAAGACAAATTGCTCCCACATCTCTCTTGGGAAAAAGTCATGTAAGTCCCCTCCATTTTCATCTCCTACGCCTATCCTTAAAACAGTGATACTGCCCTCAGCAGAAGGAAATTAGAGATCAAGGGGTTTGGCACATGCTAATATATATATGATGTATATATATATTAGTAATAATTATATATATATATAATTTCCTAGTGTTCTCAACACCCATTTACAAAAGCCTCATTTTTTATAAACACTGTAGCAGCAAAGAGAGCTTTGTAAAGTCAAGGAATAATAGATACAAAAAGCAATGCTCCCAGACCTGGTTTTAGCTGTGTCATCTTAACCTCATTAATACCTTTGGAAAATATGAGATTTTGACATGGGACAAAAGAGCATTCTGCAGACAACATCTTAAATATATTCTTCTGCATGCCCAACTAATAAGTCGGCCTGGCTGTTGACATAAGTCCAAAGGAAAGATAAGGTCATAAAGTATTTGCCTGGCTTACTGACAGAACAATAAAATAATTTTTCTTCATATAATTTGTTCCTGTTATGAAGTTATAGATCTAGAATACTAACTATCTGGGAATGTTCAGTGCATATTATAATTACATACTCTACTTTGAAGAGAACGACGCTGCAGAATTCAATATTCATTTCTTCCTTCGCACACATAAATTAGTACTCCTTTTAGCGTCACAGACGGCAAGTGGAGCAGACCTCTCCCTCTGCGCTCCTCTGTTCAATCGAATGTGGGCACTAGGGCATCACCACTTGCTGCTTTCTTTTTCGGTGAATCTCCAAGCACTATCTTCTCAGGCCTGACATTATCTAGTGATGGGATTCAATTAGTAAAAAGGGAAAGAGAGAGGATTAATGGTCCTCTTCCTTCCCTTTCAGAAGCTAATTTGTGGGGCAAAGAACAGGGAAAAGCATTCCAATGCTCTTTAGGAAAACATATTTCAGGCTTGTCTCCCTGAATGGCTGGCAAGGCTGGGCAGAGATCCAAACGCTAATTTGAAGGGATAGTTTTCGGGAGGTCATGGATGAAACAGTCCCCCAAATGCTGGCTGTAATAAGCCCATGTAAGACTCTCAAATAACCTGGAGTCAGCCAAAAGGCTCAAGTGTTTTCCTCACTCCAGGGAAGCTGTTGGGACTAGTCTTGACTTGTTAGAAGGCTGGTTGTGTAAGATGCTGTCTATCTTGCAAGCAAAGGCGGTCCTCTGGTGAGGAGACACTGTTTCATTAAAGGATGGCCTCCTCATGCTGTCCTGGGCTGGGCCCATCCTTGACTTTCCTTTGCTTCGACCGTATTCTCTGGAGACTGTATCGCTTCGACTAATTCCCCTCCTGCCACACTCATTCTATCCTAAAGCCTCTTGTAAAGCCCTCTCTTAGGAGAAAGCTTTCACCTTAGATCACCATTCTAAAGTTCTTAAAATATGGGCTATTTTGTAGCTACAGGGAGAGCGTCTCCATGACCTACCCTATGGGATGCAAGCCAGAAACTAAAGAGAAGATTACTGCTGTTTGGCAAGTGAGGAGGGTGCTCTGGACTGCTTCCCAAGGAAGCCAAAAGGAGCAAAAACAAAAGCAAAAGCAAAAAAAAAAAAAAAAATCCTCCAGGATTCAGGAAAAAAACAAGTGAAACAAGTGACAAGGTGAGAGAGCAAACCCAGACAAGTATTTAACCCACAAAAGAAAACAAATAATATTAAAAAGGCCTTTGCAAGAATCTAGGGAAAGTGAAGAAAGTAAGAGATGAAGGAAGTGCAGAAAGACAAAAAATCTGATCATTTTAACTTTATTAAGACTAAAATTAGAAGATTTTTTTTGTCTCTCCTTAAAAAAATCATTCTTCTATCTCTATTTGAAGAAGTAGACCTCTAGAGATTTTTTTCCTTCAAAATAGAGTCCTGAAATTCAGCTTTTTTCTCACTTACATCAAGTACCAGAAATATAACATTTTCTGAGGAGTACGTTTTGGAAGTTGCATATGGGAAAAGGACACGTGGATATGTTCTTACCCCGTTTAGCGCTTTCCATGTGATGTTTTACAGCAGAATGGGGTAGGAGGACTGGGGAAGAAAGAGGACTTTCTGAACTCTTCCAGAGAAAGCTGGAGGCCAAGAGGATTCCATTTCTTAACTAATCCACCGGCATATCGGTGGTCTTAGAACCACCCAGCCACATAGGTCGTTGGTCAATGACAAGCATGCCAGTGGTACAAGGAGATTGATAAGTTAGAGAAGGAATTTGTTCATTCTCTGAATCCTCCATTGAGGTTTACTGAGCACCCACTCTGGGAAAAGTTCAATGTTAAGTGCCTTGTTAGGTGGGAAGCAAGGAAGATCACTACAAAGATGCAGAAAACACTGTCAATGTTCTCAAGCATCTTGAACCAAGATAAGAAGATTGCACATGTGCACAAATATAACACAAGAGAACAAGTGATAAATGTCATTCGAGTACAAAGATTTACTGAATTCTGATTTTGCATGTCCCTGGTATCACCACTCACTTGAGACATCTGATTGTCCCCTAACCTTATCTTGGATACTATGTGCTCCTTCATTTGAGAGATTCAGCTTGGTGCTTTTGACCTAGAACCACACACCTATTCAAATCATTATGAGCTGGCATTACTTCCACCATCATTGTGCTCTGCAGCACTTTCCATTTCACAGGGCAGCATGCAAGGTTTACACCGCTCCACATAATACAGATTGAATTGAGCAGCAAAGGTTGATATGTGGTATGAAGACATTCCCAGCATAGATCCTGCTTGGGTGTCTTTCAGGAACACATTGTGCAGAACTGAAAGAGTGGCTTCCTCAGGTAATTAGGAGACAGTGGCTCAAGGGAGATGATCCTGTCCCATGGGGAAAGTACACTATGCTCATTGAGTTTTAGGTACTCACACTGAATAGCAACCTGGAGTGGGCATATCAAATCCCACTAGCCTGAATGGGCAGAGGCACTAACTTGGGGAGAGGTTTGTATCAGGTGGAAGATGAGGATTAAAGCAAAGAGCCTCTTTCTACCACATTTGACATCACCTACTGCCTCAAGGTAACATTTAGGTGTAAGTAAAGATGAATTGTATCCATTCCATTTTCATAAATCCTATAATAAAGTACCTTGCAATGGTACTTTTTAACCAATACTTAATGTCTATAAATTAATCCTAAAGGATCTGGAATGAGAAAGTACAATAAAAGAACTTTAGGATCAATTTCTAGTACTGTGGTTCTAAATGGGAGTAGGTGAGCATTTTGCCCCTTAGGGGAAATTTGGCCATGGGTGAAGACATATCTGGTTGCCAGGACTCAGGTGTTTTCCCAGCATCTATCTAGTGGGTAGAAGTCAGGGATGCTGAATATCCTATGAGGCATAGGATAGCCCCACAACAAAGCCTAAAACATCAATAGTGCTGAAGTGTAGAAACCTTACCGTAATGGAAAGAGCCTTAATTAGGAGTAAGAAAACCTGGGTTCTAGGTCAGGTTATACCACTTATTAGTAATAAGATATTGGGCAAGTTTAAGCTCTTCACAACTCAACTTTTTCATCTTCAATACAGGAGTAATAATATCTGCTCTATTCACTCACTCAGGGTTGTTTGTAATTATCAAAGGGAAACAATATATGTCGTACACAGAGACAAGGTGGTACTTCATTATTCAGCATCACAACTTCTTGGATTAACATTGTCGAACTACTCTTTAAAGACACAAATTCAACCTACAAATATTTACATAGGACCTATGAAATAAGTAGAACCATTTTAATCCTATTCAAGGAAACCAAATGTCCATGGAAAGTCAAATGAGCCTCAGGTCCTCCACACCCCAGGCAAAGAAAAAAAAAACCTCTCTTGTCAACACAAGTTGAGCATTCAGCTTTCCCTTGTCAATGATCTACAAGCATAGAATCAACCATAGGTCAGAAAACACTTACCGCATAGATTTTCTTTTCATGATGGCAAAATCCGGGAGTCCTCGACACACACTCAGGGCAGCACTGGTTGGCAGCTATTTGAAGCACTTCTCCCTGAGCATTTTAAAACAGCTCAGTGTAAAACAGCAGCAGGAAACACACTCACAGTGGCTCATCAGACCCCAAGTCATCTCAGATACACTAAATTTCAGGAGTTTCCACGGGTAACAACAGATGGGATAAATCAAATAAACTGACAAAAAGGATTCTCTCTGTCAAGATGAGCTCTCAAAGTTAAAATGAACCCCCCCTGTGAAAGCAATTTCCTTGAAAATTGTCTACACCTTTTCACATGTAATGAAGTAGAGAATTTTATTCACTGGAAATGCTCCATCTGAGGGTCACACAGGAAAAGAAGATAGAATAAGAGAAGAGCTGTATCTCACTGAAAACTTTGTTTCCCTCAGCTGAGAAGAGAAGACTTGGGGGGCTGGGGGGGCACAGAACTAGCAGGTCTTCTAGCTACCTGCAAAGACCTGATGCAGCCAGCGGGAGCTGGGGAGGGGGCTGAAGTTCTGATGTTCACTTTTACTGACCAGAGTTGCAAGGCACATGGGGCAGGGGACTGACAAAGCTGGGAGAGGAAACAGCATTGTTGTGAAGGTATCACGTGTACTGTGGAGAGCCGGCTAGAATTCCAATAAAGATCTACATTGTTTGTCAGGGCTACTGTAATTCCAACAGTGTTTCCTATCAAGATGTGATACTATCAAGGGAACGGGCTACCACGTGATACCCCAGGATTTATTGGGAAGTTGTCAAGTTAACTAACCATCCATTTGCCACTGTGAAGACTCCATGTATGCAAGCGTTATTAAAACTGTGGAGCAAAGAGCGTATGTTTGTCTTTGGGGCCCAGTGATCCTCTTCTAAGTGCTTCTCCACTTAGATAGCTTAGTGTTTCCACAAGTCTTAAAGATGTGACAGACCGGGCAATGAATGATTTTGACCAAAACTGGTGAGAGCCTGCACTAGCCAGGGAATCACAGCTTGTCCACAGAATAAAAGTCTACAAAGAATTCATCCAGTAGAATGAAAAAAATATATGCATGTGTGTGCGTGTATTAATGTTTCTTTGATACTTGAGGCTGCTTCCATTTAAAGAAATGTACCTACAAGAAAATTCTAATTTTATGTAACTACATCCACAAGAGTGGTTGAGAAATGGGACTAAGATTTTACCACTGTTAGTCCACTAAACAGATAAATACAATTTTACCTAGCAACAGTGATCACCAAATTCTTCCTATTTGCTTGACAAAAGATAAAGTATACAATATGGGATTTTATAAAATTGTTCATACTATGCAACATTAATGACTTTTCAAAAGAGTGCTCTCTGAACCCAAGAGGAAACTACACTTGTCTGATTTTCACAGTAAACTGTAGAAACCATATTAGCCTAATTTGCATTAAGAATTTCACACAGATAGAAAATAAGGTAATCCAACTGTTGTTTATATTCTAACATGGAAGCAGAGCAAGAGAGAAAGGTGGATAAAATCAAGGAGCATGGGGAACATGGGAAGTGACTGTATGGGCAAGAGACATCAATGAAAATTGCTAGGGTTGCTGGGCAAGATTACTTGCCTAGGATCTACAAAAATCAACCAACAATAATTATGATGATCATTTGGTAATTATAGCTAACACTTAACTGAGTACTTAGAATAGCCAGGTACTTTTCTAAGCATATACATATACATATATGTGTGTATGTGTATATATGTATTATGTTTATGTATATGTATATACACAATATATAATTCTCACAACTTAATTAGGTAAATACTATTATTAGCTTCGTTGAGGTTTGCAGCCAAAACCCCACCATGTAATATGATGTTCCTTTGCATGGTATTGTCCTCCTGTATACATAATATATTCAGAAATCCTGAAGAGAGGATTGGTCCTCACAGGACTGGGTTAAATAATTAAGGTTCTAAGTACCTCTGTTCTCTTTTTTCTCAGTCTCTCTATGTCTCTGTCTTTCTCCCTATTCCTGGTTAGCTAGCTCTCTAGCTAGCTATTCTAGATAGAGAACTGGATATAGAATCTATTATGTATGGATAGGATGAGTAGATAGTTGATAGATAGATGATAGATAGATAGATAGATAGATAGATGGAAAAAGAAGATGTATCAAAATTTCCATTGACAATAGATTATTTCCAGTCAGTCCATGAGTAAAACAAATTGTAAAAGGACTTTTAAACATTTTAAAAAGATGACAGTAACAAATAACTTAGGGTACAATGGTGATTCATTAACCTCTGCCATGAACTAATGTAAGTATACCATAGCAGATTTGAATTAACAACACATGCTGCTGAGAAACACAAAGGAAAACTTAAATCAACATGGTAGAGTAGAAATTATATTAGGTCATGAGTCAGGGACTAAGGTTTTGTCATGGCTGGGCAACTTGCTAGCTCTGTGTCTTTGAGCAAGTGACTAAATCCCTAAAAGTCTGTTTCTTTGTGTATAAAATGAGAAAGTCTAACTAACTGAATTCCAAAGGCCTCTTGTAGTTCTATTTCATTACTTAAAATAAAGAACCCAAGTGCTCTATGATATACTCACATGATCTTGGAGTTGGAAATTTCTTATGGTTGGATCATCTGGTCCAACCCTCTCATTTTACACATAAGAAACTCCTTAGAGCTCACAATCTTCAATTATGTCATTCTTTTTATTATTATCACTCATCAACTTTCTGATCACTCCTTCATACTCACTCACTAAAGATTTGGCACCTAGGTCTCAGTTTCTTTTCTACACTATGTCTAGATATAATTCTGGGCAACTTCAATGTCCGTGAAAGTGACATTCTATCCTTTCATGGACATTCTTTTTTTTCTTTAATGTTTTATTTATTTCTGTGAGAGAGAGAGAGAGAGAGAGACAGCATGAACAGGGGAGGGTCAGAGAGAGAGGGAGATACAGAATCTGAAATAGGCTCCAGGCTCTGAGCTGGCAGTCAGCATAGAACCCGACGCAGGGCTTGAACCCATGAACCGTGAGATCATGACCTGAGCCAAAGTCGGACGCTTAACCGACTGAGTCACCCAGGCGCCCCCTTTCATGGACATTCTTAACCACTTCAATTCAAATAGCCTTCCCCTCCACTTCACTTGAGTCCCCCCATAGTCATGGTTGACCTTGGGACCTATCTACACTCTAAATTATTCTATACCACAAACCTTCAACTCTCTAAAATGAACTTTCTGGACATTAGCTCTCTCTCACCCTCACTCCCACTCATCTCCTGTCCTTCAGCAGAATGACACTTTTTCCTTCAAAGTCATTCATCTCCCAGCTGGCCTCATTTTCCTATTCGTTAGCCTCAATGCCCAATACTTACTGTATATTCATTCTTTCTCTCCATTAATATGCAAAATCCTAATCAAGGATCTATTCCACAATTTGCCATTTCTTCTCTTACACCTGGCTAGTAAATTTTGCTGAGAAAATTATACCATTGTGCAGCTTGGTACCCTCACAGGTTCCTGGCGTCCTGTTCCCATGGGCCCTTAACCCCACCCACACATGCTTTACCTCAACCTTGGTCAGTCCCTTTCTCCCCTCAGTGACAGCTCCTAACATCCACTCTCTTTCTGGTCCCAACGAAACCTCAAAATCCTCACAAAGTAAGATTAGATATGAACTATTTCAGTATCCTGTCTGTTTTCTTACTTACAAATCTAACTATATCTGTATCTATCCATGGCTCTTTCTTTCTACTTTTAGAGAATGAGGCTGTCCTCCCCACCCCAAGCTCTGGATCCCACAAATTCTGCTTCCTAAAAACCACTCCTCCTAATTCATTCATTCTGTCTGTCCTCTCTACCCCACCTACCATATCTTCAGCTTCTCTCTCCCTTCTAGGTCACCATCCTTTTTCTTCCTAGCATGGTCATGTCTCTCTCATGCTAATATCCAAAATGAAAACAAAAACAAAACCCTCTCCCTTCTCTTGTTTGATCATTCTGCAAGTATTGACTAAGCATCGTACACTGTGATGTTTGAAGGGCTGCAATAGTGAAGAAGACATGATTTTTGCTCTCAAGAAGTTAAGAGTCTGGAGGAGGAAGCAGATAAATAAATAAGCATTTGCAGTCTAAGAGCTATAATAAAAGCAGCACACAGGAGGGCTCAACAGTTGGGGAGGGGAGGTTCAAAGAAACTTCACAAATGACTGGCGTCTCCCTAATGCCCCATTTCTCTCCTTCTAGTCTCAGCAAAGCTCCCTGCAAGAGCAGCCTTTACTTGGTTTCCTTTCCCCACTTTCTATTCACTCCTCAAACTTCTGTGATACAGCTTCCTCTCCCACCACTCCACTGACACCACCTTCAGGGAGGCCTGTGATCAACACTGTTGATCTAAACTCCTTCTGGAAACTCTCTACTCTCCTGGCTATCATCATACAGATCTCTTCTCTGGCCACTTCTTACCTCTTACCTCTCTGACCATGTCTCTTTAATCTCCCTAAGATCCCTCTCTTATGTTTACCTCCTTGTAAATGACTGTGTTCCCCCAAGTACACCCTTCCTTGATCTCATACTCTTCACAAAATCTCTTCAGATGAGCTCATTAATTCTAAAGGCTTACACTACTGACTATATGCTAATAATACTCACACAATATTTCCAACCTTGCCTTCTCCTCTGAGCTTTAGCCTTATATATGTACTGCCTTCTTGACATGCCCACCTGACTCCTCCATGGACACTTCAAACTCAACATTCCTTAAAGTAAAATCATCATTTCCTCCCAAACAGAATGAATCCATCCTTATTATCCTATTTTTCAATATCAGTCGATGGTTCAGCTAACAAATGATCAAACCATAAATATGGGAGTCATCTCTCCTTTTCCTTTCCCTCACCATCCTAACTTCATTTAGTTCTGCCTAGTTATCCCCTAAATGTTCTTTAACCTGCCCTTTTCTCTTAAGCCCTACACTACCGGTGCTCTGATTTAGGTGCTCATCCCCTCATCTAGATTATTCTCATGGCCTCTGAATTGATCCCCTCATTTCCAATTATCTTAGAAAAAACAAAAAGATCTTTCTTAAAAGAAAAGCTGGACATTATGCCTACATTAGTATTCTATTATCTTAAAAACAGAATCCCAAGCTCCATAGTACAGCATAGTTCAAGGCTTTCCATAATCTTGAACTTACCAACTCTCTAGCCTCATCTCTCATTCATTCATTCAATTGGTCAAAAAATATTTATTGAGTGCCTACCATGTGTCAGGTGCTATTGTAGGTTCTGAGAATATACAGTGAATAAAAGAGATAGTAAACAAGAAATAGCAGTAAAATATATAGTATGTCAGATATTAGTGCCAAGAAGAAAAATAAAGCATGGAGGAGGAATAGGAAATGTGTGGAAGTGTGGATTTGCAATTTTTTTTCAAGTTTTATTTATTTATTTTAAGAGAGAGGAGAGAGTGGGGATGGAAGAGGAGGAAAGAAAATCCCAAGCAGGCTCCATGCTGTCAATGCAGAGCCCAATGAGGCACTCAAGCTCACAAACCAAGAGATTATGACCTGAGCTGAAATCAAGAGTTGGATGCTTAACTGACTGAGCCACCCAGGTGCCCTGAGATTTGAAATTTTAAATAGAATGGCATCAGTGCAAGACTTAAAGGAGGCAAAGGATCAAGTCATATATATATATATATATTTGTTATATATTTTTTTTTTTGTTTATATATATATATATCCAAAGAAAAAGCAATTTTAGCAGGAAAATCAGAGTGCAAAGGCCCTAATGGCAGAAGTGTGCCTGGCATATCCAGGAACACCAAGCAGGCTTGGTGTATGAAGCAGGGAAAGAACACTAGATTAATGACAAGGGTACAGTAGTCACACAGGGCATTGTAAGCAGTTAGTCTAAGTGAGAAGAGAAGCCATTGGAAGTCATTGGAGGAGTTTAAGGAGAGAACCAACATGATCTGGCTTAAATTTTAATAGGATAACCCTGGCTGCTAGATCAAGATCACAGTGAAGAAGCAAGTATAGAAACAGTAAAACTAGTTAAGAGGCTACAGTGAGAATACAGACAAAAAATGTTAATAGGTAGAACCAGAGTTAAGAGCAGAGAAATTGCATTTGGAACCTATGGTTTTATGAAGGAAAAGGTAGGGGGTTGCCAATGCACTAAATTTGAAATGTGGGGGGTGGGGAGGTCAAGGATGAAGCTAAGTATCCTTGCCTGAGCAACTGGGAGAAGTAAGTTGACATTTACTGAGATGAGAAAAATTAGAAAAGCAAATCTGGAAGGGACAGCATCATGTTTGGTACAGAACAGAGGTCAGAAACTTTTTTCTGTAAAGCGCCAGATAATAAATATTTTAGCCTTTGAGGGCCACATCTGGTCTACATCACAACTACACAACTTTGTCCATGTGCTGTAAAAGCAGCCATAGATAACACATAAACAAATGAGTATGCCTGTGTTTCAATAAAAGTATATTTATGGACATTAAAATTTAAGTTCATGTAATTTTTATATCATGAAATATTCTGTTTATCTTTTTCCAACCTTTTAAAAATGTAAAAAGTGTTCTTTGGTTATAGGTCATATAAAAACAAGTGGCAGGCCAGATTTTGTCTGCTGACCCCTGTTCAGAACACATTTAATTTGCAGCAATATAATCAACATCTTCCAACATTTCATTCAAGGCTTCTTACAGGATACCACAGTTATTCACATGCAGTGGAAGAGGCCATGTCTTCATGGCCCTTATATAGCCAGCTCAGATTCTGAGATTCTAAGGATCTTTTAGGAATATTTGCTCCATAAAATAGAAAGCCCCACATTTAAAACAAAAGATTATCAAATTTACTAACACTGGATGTACACCCAGCTTCTCAGAAATAAACCCATGAAGAAATTGAGGACTGCACTGAAAGGTGAAGAGAACCTTCCCTCCAATGTTAGAAACGAATGGAAACATATTAGCGCTAGATGGCATAAAGTTCCTTATTATGGGAGGAGGAAGAGAATGAGAAAAATAAACTGTACCTGTGAAATTGACAGAATGCTTGTTAAAGAAAATAATTTAGTCTTCTCCACAAAGTTTCAAATGTTCAAATTTGAAGCTTAAGCTTTTTTTTTTAATAGATTCACTTTAAAAAGAAAAGAGTCAGCACCTGGAAAAAATATTCTAACAGAATAGATGTGTAGTCAGAAAAAAACCCTGAAAATTTTTAACAAAGGGGAAAGGAGGAAATATCTCTCACATACTTGGTCAACCAGGAGATTTCTCAAGTCAAAGCCTCTCCTATGCTCCTAGAGAGCTCAATGGCAGCACAACAAATGTCAGTGGCAGAACAAATAATTCTGGAAAATCATCTTCAAGAAGTCAATGTTGACTTTCAGTCCATCCAATGACTTGTAAATGTTGTGGTGATTATCAATAGCTTTGGCATCTGCCAGCCCCAGGGAAATCTCTGGGCAGCAGATTATTAACTACATAATCATGGTTGGGTTGCTCGAAATCTCCAGGCTTCATTTTCTCACCTGGAAAGTGGGGATAAAGATACCTGTCCAACATGATATTAAATAGGATAATGTTTGTACGCCTTTCACTGTGCATGTGGTCCAGAATAAATTCTCAATAAACAGAAATTAAGATATTCTTAGATGTAAAATTCTCTTCTGCATGTCATAAGGCTTCCAGTTAGAGATTGGGACAGATGTCGGAGCCAAATGACTGAAAAGATGCAAAAACCCTAACCTTCTCTGACTTCACCGATACATTTAGGAAACAATTAGGATGCCATACCTTTTCAAAGGCACACTGAGGGTTTCTGCAAACAGCAGGTTTGCAGATAACGATGTTGCCATGGCAACGGCAGTTCTGGCATGAATCAGGCTTCCAAGTTGTGGCATCCTGCAACAAAGCAAAAGCTCGGAGTTAAAACCTGATCAGAGAAGGTATGAGCACAGAGAAGCAGCACCATCAACAGCTCCACAGCCTAAACAATTAAAGGCAACGGAAAGTCACAGGCACACACAGTGCTTGCTGGGCACCGATTAAACCCCAAGAGGCAATAAAAGCAGGATAATCCATTTCACCACAGTCAGCCCACGTAGCCAAAAACAAGGGCATGCGGCAGAGAGCTGTCGATATCCAGAGTAAAAAACATCGATTGGTCTGAAACCTCAGGAGGACAAGCTGCTCCCTGACTTGAAGTTTCTCTCTTTGCTGTTAACTAACAGAAGCCATCGGAGCATGTTTAAAGGAAAATGACACTGGGACTAGCAGTAACCAGCATCCTAAAAGCTGCATTTGCCAGTAGATCATATCAGCACCTTAGACTTCAGTTTCTAGCTCTTGCTTACTGCATATTCTAATACTCACAGCACAAGGACTTGGGAGAGTAGGTCAATATTTTTTTTTTTAATATTTTTATTTTATTTCTAGGAGAGAGAGAAAGGCAGCGTGAGCAGGGGAGGGTCAGAGAGAGAGGGAGACACAGACTCTGAAATAGGCTCCAGGCTCTGAGCTGGCAGTCAGCACAGAGCCCGACGCGGGGCTCGAACCCACGAACCGCGAGATCATGACCTAAGCAAAAGTCGGACACTTAACCGACTAAGCCACCCAGGCGCCCCAAAGGTCAATATTTTTAAAGCAGATCAATCAACATATAGCTATTATATGCCCAGCTGTACACTGAACATATTGGGGTACAAATGAACCATGCATATGAGCACAATCCATAAGATTCTCACAAATTATTATGGGTTATGAACATGAGGGTCTTTGACTTGAACTGGGATGAGCTGGGACTTCCCCACAAAAAAGCAGAGACCAAGTGGGATATTAATGTTACATGTTAACGTTACATGTCAACTTAGCCAGGCTATGGTGCCTGGTGTTTGGTCAGATACCGCCTACATGTGCTGTGAAGATATTCTGTATTTAACATTTACAATCAGTTCATTAAGTAAAGGAGATTACATTCTAAGCCTCGTCCAATCAGTTGAAGGTCTTCAGAGCAAAAACTGATGTTTCTTGGACAGGAAAGACTTCAGCCTCAACACTAAAAACATGGAAATTCTCCCTGAGTTTCCAGGCTACCATCCTACCCTATGAATTTCAAAATTTTAGACTCGTGACTGCAACTTCAACTCTTGCCTTAATTTCTAGGCTGCTGGCCTGCCCTACAGATTTTGGACTTCCCAGCCCCTATATATGTATGTATGTATATGTGTGTGTGTGTGCGTGTGTGTGTGTGTATACATATAAATATGTATACATATTTATACATATAAATACATCTCAAAAAAATAAATTTATATATATATATATATAAAGATACACATATGTCTCCTTTCTGTTCTGTTTCTCTGGAAGACCATGTCCAACATACAAACACTAGTACATATTTACATGGATGTGCACAACATTCCCAAGCACAAATGATGTCATTCTTGCAGACTGGGAAATGGTAAATATATAACGTCTCAGGGAATGTGCTTCAAATCCAAAGTCATTTAAGAAACGCAAGATATATCTGAGGTAAGATGACATTCCCAGTGGCTAATTCACAAAAACTCTGAGCCAAAGCAAATGGGTACTAGAACCTGATTTGGAAAACCACTGAATTTCTTTCTTTTTTTCTTTTATTGTTATAGCACATTCCTCTGAAATTGGCAACTACAGTCTCTTCTTAGGCGAAAGAGCAATGACAAGTAGGTGAGGAAACAACAGATTTCATTCCAAAGCATGAGGTAATATATATTCCTTGCTGATTTTAAGAACATAGTATCAGTTTCAAGATACAGATTAAATAAAAATGACAACTTCATGACGCTAATGGCTACCATTTATTCACTGTTATGCTACTTATGCATGTCTTTTGGAGCAAGAAACACTGATAGAGGAGGCATTTGTGGTATTGGGAGAGGGTGGCTTCATTTGCTTTTCTGACCTCTGCCATCATTCTAGAGGGCTGGGCCCAGCAGAGAGGGAAGTAGTGCATACTTCTCTGCAAAGCGCTGACATGTGTGACAACTCTGTAGTGCTGGCACTATTATTAGGACTATTCCCACTTTACAGATGTGGAAACAAGATGCTAGAGATTGAGTAATTTGCTCGAGTTTGCAAAACTCTAAGAGATCTAAATACTCAGGGTTAGGAGCCAAGCTGCTTGGGCTTGAATTCTGGTGTCACCATTCGGAATAGTGAGTCTGTTATTGGGGCACCTGGGTGACTCAGTTGGTTAAGTGGCCGACTCTTGATCTCAGCTCAGGTCAATATCTCACAGTTTGTGAGTCCGATCCCCATATTGGGCTTTGTGCTGATGGCGTGGAGCTTGCTTGGGGTTCTCTCTCTCTCTCTGTCCCTCCCCTCTAACTCTCTCTGTCTCTCTCTCTCTCAAAATAAATAAATATACATTAAAAAACAAAAAAACAAAAAGAACAGTGAGTCTGTTATCATGGTGTCTGTGCCTTGGGTTTTTTATCTGTAGAGTAGTACTTAATTCACAGGGTTGTTGAAAGGATCAAATGAGATGATGTATTTAAAGAGATCTGAACAGTGCCTAGAACTTACTAAGGGCCCATTAAATGTAATTTATTTTTAATCCAAATGCTTTCTAAGATGTCACAGTCATTTAGCAAACATCTCCTAAACATTTCCTTTTCTCAGAGTGAAAGCAGTCCCGTAAGTACCTGACTTTCCCATCTTCCCACGCCACCACACACAGGTAAAGCAGAGTGAAATTATTATTTAATTAGGACCCTAGGCCAGAAAGGATTTAAGACATTGCAGGAGAAGGGAAGGATGAATCCACACATTGATTTCCAAGAATACTTAGGAAATCAGAAAAGTCTCTGTGTCACTGAGCTGACATAACCAGGAATGCATGTCTTCCTTTCATGCAGACATGGGATGGCCTTACCTCCTCCATGTACTCCCTTCCACTCAGTACGGCTCTAAGGCATAGTCATCTTCAGTCTCTCCAGGCCTGGCATTCTTACACTAGGGGTCAACTTCTCTGCATGTCAATTATCGTCTCAGAGATCCCAGACCCCGAAACAGTCGATTATACTTGTTAGCAGCTCTCAGTCACTGCACTTGGCTTACTGAACTTTAAACAGGATCTTCTAAATACATGGAATCATATTTTACTTTCACTCATAGAAACATAATTTTTCCTTATGTTAATTCAAAGTTAAATTTTGCCGGGACCAAGAGGCCTTCCTGAATTTGTTTACGAATCTGTCTTCCCATCAGACAATGACTCTTTAAAGAAGGAGATCTCGTTTTATTCCTCTGTATATCCCATTCACCAAGCACGGTTCCTGAGTGCTGGATGAATTAGTTAATGAACAACCCTGAGTACTTGCTAAGCCTCAAGAACATATCTATCCCTGCAAATTGAGATATCCCAGTTAGGATGCAAGATCTTGATAAAATAATGTTTAAGTGACAGCACTACAAAATCCCCATACTGTTTAAGGCTATTACTTCATTGGTATCAAACTATGTTCTTCATCTGGCCATCGGACTTATCAAAAATTCCTTATATTGATGTCCTCATAGAGTAAGTAATTTATGGCTAATTTTAAATAAAATGGGCCCTTTACCAAGCTATATATTTTTCAGGTCTAAAACTTTACGAATCAATTTCCATGGTTCCATAAAATTGCTTTATGAAGGTAGGGATACGAGAGTTCCTCAATAGCTAAAACTCTGGATAAAGCCATAAAGTCCAAACAAATAACATTGTAAAGTAAGTTTTACAGATCTTCTGTGTTACTATTCCAATTGTGTTCTTTATAATCCTTTCTTCCAATATAACACACTCTGCAAAAGAAGTCTTAAAATAGTTTTTCCCTAGAATATCGATTAAAGGATTAGATTACAACAAACCTAAAAAGCAATCAAAATATGATCTGTTAATACAGCTTATAATATCTTTAATAATATATGAATCAAATGTTCTTGTAGATAATATAGTGCCTCATCTCCAAATATCTTAAAGTGACAGCCAGATAATTCAAGGGAAAAAAATTTTATTTCACTTGGTTAAATTTATTGAACATTTGATTCATGCTAAAAATATACAATGAATGTACCCCTCATCAGTACTCAAATTTCTGGGGGGAAATTATTTACAGTATTCTGTAAGAGCAGTTATATCAACTGTCAACATAAATTTTCTTCAATTTGAATGATATAATAATCCTACTTTAATTATTAATTCATCTCATTTTAAATTCCCTTGGTTTCTTAGACCAAAGATGAGAAAAAAGACATACAGCTCACCCACAGATGTGCTTTCAAGTTACAAAATAATATGTGGAATATAATGCCATTTTTATAATAAAAATATACTTAATGTGCATGGAAACAAAGTACAGAATTATATAAACCAGTAGGTGAAGGGTGGTCATCCCTGGATTTGGATTGTAGGTAACTTTTGGGGTTTTTTTTCCCTTTATCCTTACCTACAGTTTCTATTTTTTCAACAATAAAAATATATAACTTATATGATTTTTCTTTAGCACACTAAAATTTTCTAGAAAAGCTTGACCAATAGGCATTTATATTTCCCATTTATTCAATGAAATATATTTCTCTAAATAAAATATTTTCACAAAAATGTCAGCTTCTCAAAGCCATCTTTAGGTAATGCAGCGCTGGGATATAGAGCTGATGAGAAACTCCCAGGTGGGGCGACACGGACCAGGACCCTGGCTTCCCTGGGTGGTGGGATAGTTGTGGGCAGCTTGGGCATTGGGTCCCTGTACACTAGTATTCTGCAAGATGGTGCAACACTCTCCCTGTTCTAAGTTTCTTTTCCTAATTCTGATGAATCTTCTTGGCATCAAGAATTACTGATTTTTCTGTCCTTTCGGTAAGCCCTTGGGGGACCCAAA